AGAAACTTTCTGATGTGTTGTATGAAGTTGCTTGTGATTCTAGAGGGAAAAGTACCGTCGTACATTGTGATCGGATGAGAAAAAGTCATGCACAAATACTACAAGGGGAAACCGAGGAAGACATATGTGATAGGAATGATACTCCAGCTGGAGATCATATGTCTCCCATAGATGTTCCTGTGGCTGAATTTGATGAACCTTGGGCTTTAAGTGAAGAAGCTGGTGCAAGCGAAAGCAGTAGACCGCGCCGTGCGAAAAACATACCCAAATGGTTTCAGGACTACGAAGTTGATTTAAGTGCTTAGAGCTATAAGATTAGCTATTGTAAATATGTAGATAACCTGTCTTGATAATATTGAAATATGAATAATTAAAGTTTTTGTCTTATTTTAATAGATCATGGTTAATACAAAGATTACTCCCAGGAAGGAAGGTCATCGATGTCCGATGTGTAATCTGAGATTTCTAGACGAGGTTGAGTGGGAGAGACATGTGGTGGAATGCGGTAGACAGCGTAGACAGAAGAAATTCGAATGCGCCGAATGTGATTATGCTACTAATAAGAAAAGTGACATGGGGAGACATCGCCGCACTCGACATAGTGAAGTAGTTTCCGCTGCAGCTGATAGCGGCACAGATGATTGGGAACAGTTGGACCCAGGAAACCTGTCTGATGTGGTCGGGAGCACATCACAGAGTCGTCCTGCAGAAGCCGTCTGTCAGAGGAAGCCTACCAAACCAGCTCCAGTCTCTGCGCCGATATCCAAGTCCATAGCAAGCCAGGACCCCTTGACGCCACGTGCCCCATCACCATTCCGACATCCAATGACAACTCCCAGAAAACGGTCCTCTGTTCATTTGGATGCACCTCCCGTACAGTTGCCATCTCTAACTCGGGAAGCCAGTACGCAGACAGACATGTATCATCAATTAGTTGATGCGAGGACCCTGACGGATAAAGACTGTGAAGAGAAAGGCACCCAAACAGAGAAAGAGAAACGGCGTAGACTAGACAGGGTACAGGAGACATACCAAAAAGACGGGAAAACAGTCGTTGAAGTGCATGAGGAGGAAAGCTGGTTTTGAAAAGAATATTCTCAGTTGTTATTTTTCTGACATTGATATTGATGACGATTTCATGTCATATTGGATATGTTTGCACATTTATGAATCATTGGTTGATTGTTTTCTTATTTTATCAATGACAATGTTTGATGATATTTGGTTAATTTGTGTGTGCAACATTTGTGAAATCTTATGAACAATGAAAGCCAGGTAGCTTTAAAATTTGTTGTTGTATTTTGTTTTATACCACGCGTTATATCTTTAGCCCAGGTAGTTATTGATTTAATGCGGGACGCATTCCTGGAGGCGTGGGTAATGAAACAAAACTAGGAATCGAAATGATAAATTCCATTCTGTCCTCCGGAAGCTTTGTGTGTGATAAATACTTCCTGTTTAGTTAACCCTTTCGATCCTCAGAGATCACGTGATACTCTAGGGTATATAAGCAGCGATATCAGAGCTCTTAGTCAGACTGAAGTCGACACCAGTCAGTTGTTTCCAGAGAAGGTGAGAAACGTAAACTTGCTTAACAAGTCTTATGTGCCTGAATAAGGCTTTTGAGACTGTTGTATTTTTCTGCAAGTTGGTAAATATTTTTGTGTTTGCTTAGCTAGGAAGCGCACGCGCTCCCGGACAGAACAGGATAGTGTATATATTGATAATTAAAGTCCTTGATTGAGAAGTTTTATAATTATTTGATTTATTCCTTAAATTGCTCAGGCAGAGCAACCGAATCTTCGAACCCAGAAACGTTACAGTACATATATTGCCAACACAGCCAAAAATCGCGGGAATCCTATATCAAATTTAACCTTGCATGTTACATGTTACATATCATATATAAGATATATAAAAATAAGTAGAATATTTTCTACCATTCTCTCATAAAAAGGTTATAGTGAAGGTGAATGGAGGAAACTAAATGTGTGAACATCTATCTATTCAATGCATAAATTAGACGTACAAATATTTATTCTTGGAAGCGTTTTACTCTCTCTCTCTCTCTCTCTCTCTCTCTAAACTTGGCAAAAATAAAGGGGGGTTAAAAAAAAAAATTCCAACCCCCGGACCCCCCCCCCCCCTCTGGATCCGCCAATGCAATGACTTTCGTCAAAAACGTATCAATCCGCCTGACGTTACATTCAAAATTGAAGTCATTTTGTTAGAACAATCATCTTTTTATCTTACATCAAATGAATGAAAATTAAATTATAAGCAATGAATTTAATAGCTACCCATTTTATACGGTATAAACTGGGTTGGAACAGTTTACGCTTTTTTATTTATAAACCGCTTCGCGGTTTATAAAGCGTAAACTGTCCCAACCCAGTTTATACCGTATATAATGGGTAGCTATTAAATTCATTCCTTAAATAAATGGCTATTTGGCCATAAAATATTTGTTTAATACAAAGAAAAGTTCAGTGGTAATTGATGAACTCCAGCTCTTGAAAAAAAAAGGGGGGTAGACGATATTTTCCATTGAAATCAGACTTTCAAGCATCACCATATTTTGAAATAGTTTTGGATATTATTAAATTTACTTATATCTGTTCTTATAATCTAGGCAAATAAATAAAACATAAATTTGTAAATAAAATATAATGTTTCGGTTTTAATAGCCATTCTCTGTAACCACTTAAACTTCGTTGCCACGCACGGTCACCGATTTTGATTAAACTTCCACCATGCTTAGTACTTGACACCAGAAACAAATATCAAACAAAATTCCGTTGCTATGTGTCTCGGTTGCTATGGCAACAGCCAGAAAAGTTTGAAAAATCAAGATTTTCAGTCATTTTAAATCTTGACTGTGGCTTGATAAAAACTAGAAAAAGCAAACAAACCATTCTAACAAAAACATGACACCTTGATGTCACTTATACTGTAAAGAAACTGTTTAGAATATATTTCTAAGTAAGTGGTAACCAAGGGTACATTTGGAATACATTTAAAATGCTGAAATATGCTGAAAAACACTCCGTATTCACTAATGGTATGTGTTACATGCTCAAACTCAATCAACGACTTAAGAAAAACAATGAAAATGTTTGACCTTAAGTATATAAGCATAAGCAATATTATTCTATAAATAACTTTTATGGTTGCCATGGTAACACAGTGTAACCATGCAAAACCAGTAACTAAGATTGGGTTAATGCTACTGTCTTGAGGAAAAACATGAAAATTCAAGACTGGCAATTATGCATCCTTAGGACCTTGCAACACCAAAACCAGAAGAAAAATTGGGTATAATTGCTACTTTGCAGTGTTACCATGGAAACAAAGTACCAGTGCATAAAAGTGATTTTTTTTCGCTGCATTAAGAATTAAATTGCCATTTAATCAAGAAACAAATTAAAGGACTCAGCTTGAATAGTACTTATCTGTGAGAACTGAAGTTGAATATCATATATTGATGAAATTTGATGAAGAAAACAACACTGTTTCTATGGTTACTAAGAAGGGAAAATGTTCGATTTTTTTAACTTTATATCAATATTAAACCCTGTGTGCCAACTTCTTGCATCCACTTAGAGATTGGATGATAGTCAAAATTAAAAGTCAGGTTAGCTGGTAAGAAATATCAATTATAAAAGTTTTGGGAATCTACATTTAAGGGTACGTATCCAAGGAAAGAAAATATTTTTCAGGTTTTTAAGCATATATTTTCTGCTTATTTCCATAGCAATGCTCTATTTAAAGAATCTAATCTGAATTTTTTCAAATGGGAAAAATAGGAGCACACCAACATCTTTAAAAATTGATCATTAGTTATGAGGAAATGTGCTTTTTTAAAAGATAGGATTAAATTTAAACATACAGAGTGTTACTTTGAAGACTCTCTGTGGTATAAAAACCTTGGCAACCATTGTCAATCAAAATGAAATATCATATTTTGTTCTTGGTATATGTTTCAAGGCTCTTTTTTCTATTATTTGGTCACATTTCATCCTATAATTGCTTTTTATTTTTACGTGTATGACTTTATAAAATTCAATGAATATTATTTTTACTTTTGAATACTTTGTTACCATAGTGACGTATGTAATAGTTGATTTACCAAACATGTTTATCATGCATTTGAGACATCTGACCTTCAACTTTTGGAAACAGTCATTGCCAATTGTTTGCTTTGCCGCAAATGTTAAGTATGGGGCTCTAAACATGTTAAAAAAAGCCATTTTTCGAACTTTAAGACATGTTGCCATGGTAACTATAAAACATAGCAACCAATTTTTGCCTGATTTCAGTTTAGGGTATCAAAGACTTTTATTATAGAGAGTTTGGAGAAATTCTGAGACTATACGTGCCACAGCTCCTGTATAAAATTTCAAATCATTACAGAGAATGGCTCTTAAATCGCTTTGAAATTGGTGAAAAATAAGCATTTTGTCGTTTGTTGTCAATAAACACCCCCCCCCCCCCTCCGTGACATACAAAAAGCTTTGGTATGAATTTGTAAAATAACAGTCCTTATTACCTGTAAAAAGGAATTTTTGTGTCTCGGGGGGGGGGGGGGATGTTTTAAAAATATTTTCCTGATTTCTATAGTGAAAAACATGAGTTTTACCCAAATTTTAGAGTTATATCTCTTTGTTTTCCCAAATATGTAATGGTTTAAGAATCCATATAAATATCTATAAAAAAAATATTAAAATTCACCAAATATGTTAACTTTGAAAATTGACTTGGAGGTAGGCGGGAGAACAATACTATCGTTCGCAGTTCTTTAGCCTTCGGTTCAGGTGAGCTGAGGCGCCGTCGCGCACTGTCCTACTTTCATTTTCTCCTCACGAATTTACGACAACATATTTTCAATGCAGACCAAAAAAGTCTTTCATAAAACAAAACTCTATTCCTATATTCTGACATTTATTGATAGCAAGTACGACCTCGAAATCAATTTATCAAAAAATGCTAAATCTATGTTATTTAACTATTTACGACATGCCAAAAGTCAATATTCTTTCAGCGATGGCGACGCTCGTGAATGTATTTTCGAAGGGCACTCGATTAAGTAAGTATATCTAAATAATGCAAGTACTTTTATATGAAATCGTATGTTTTTGAAAACAGATTAGACATTTTAATTCTACTTTTATGCATTTATCAACCAAAAGCAGCACAAATGTTTGCAATCATGACTCTGAAAAAAGCGCAGGTCAAAGTCCGAACAGTTCTCTATATTTTGATAGGAGAAACTAGAAAATACGGTAAATGTTAAATGTAAATGTTAATTATTTTTCATCAGTCTTATAAATAAACTATATATCAGTTTTCATACATGAATAAAAATAATAATGAAAGACTTGGAAAAGTGACTAAATTAGTAAATAGGTGAAATCATGTTACACAACCAAAGTTACATAAACAGTTTATAGTGAGTTATCTCCCTTGAATTGCTTTTTTTAGTGTTAGTAGTCTACCCGTGGTCATTTACACAAAATGTTTTTTTGTGGAGTTATTCTATGGTTCTGGTTATTGATATTTAACTTTATATTTTAGGTAAGAGGATAAGGTGTCTGTATCGCTATGGAGAAAAATATTGCAGCAGCGTAGCAACACCTAAAATTACAACACATTACACAGTTCATCCAAGAGAAAATGATCCTCGCTGGAAAGGTATATTTATTGATAGATTAAACTGAAATGTTTGAACTCATTTCTTCTAGAGATACTGGGTGCAGTTGTTTTCCTGTTGCTTGGAGCAAGTGCAATGTAATCTCAGGAAAATAAGTTGAAATTCAATAAACTCAGTTGTACAGGAAAAATTAATAAATGAAAGAAAGATATCTTTTCCTTTTAATCTTCCCTATTTAAACCAGACATTTAAAGTTATCTGCAGTTGACTATAACATTTTGATTATTTATTCAGCTGAATATAACAAAAAACTTGTGAAATAATATATACCATTTCCTTAATCATGATAATGGTAGAAAGATTGCCAGTGTTAAACCAAGACGAAATGAAGGACCCTCTTCCAAAGGAAGATGCAATAAACCCTCATTAATATCTCAAGGAACACTCATTAGAAAAAGAAAAACTTATTCAATGCTTTTAGATGACCAGGGTGATATACTTCAAAAATAAGTGTTTGGGACTATTAAAAAATCACTTCAACATATCAGTATTCAAAATGATGAGATGTTAGTATAAATAGCAAAAATCTTTCCAAGAATAGGAAAGCCATGACTCATCATATTTAATGGAGGCATCCTCAGATAATGTCAATTCAAGTTTCTTCAATTCATGACATTCTGGGGGTAAGATGGGATACACTCAGCAATCAAAGTTTAGCAAGGAAATCAAAATCTTTGAAAACCTTTCTAAAGAATAGCATGGCTAAAGTAATTTAGGTGAGCACTGTGACCAAATGGCCCCTTATATGGCTAGTTAAAATATTGTCTCTCTTGTGAATACCTAATTACTTTCCCACAAAACGAAAATTTTGTGACTAGTATACAGACTGTCAGTATATTTATTTTTTATATATCTGTACATTTGATTTAAGTACTTCAAAGAATGCCATGTAATCTACGTTTTATGTTACATGTGGATATTTGTTAGATGTGGATATGGAGAGGTTTGCAGATGAAGCTGATGTACTCATCGTCGGTGGAGGTCCAGCGGGGCTGTCAGCCGCATGTAAACTCAAACTCATGGCTAATGAACAGGGGAAGGAACTGAGGGTGTGCTTGGTAGAGAAAGCAGCTGAGATCGGTAATACATGTATCTGTAGTCTGGTGGTTATATAATATTACATGTAATAATAATTACATGTGTATATGAAAATTACTGTGAATCAATCTAACCTATGTGATTTAATTGCACCATTGAAATATCTGAATATTCTACTGCAGTAATTGTATCACATTTATCTATATGATTAATATACAGATAGTGTGATTTATTATAAATTTATATGTATATTGATTATGTTGATGAAATTGCATTTGACAGTTGTGTTTTGCAAACAGATATACTGGGTGATATAAGTAAATTAGTAATTAGAAAGTAATTAGATATACTGAACAGACAGTCATTTTGTACATTGTATAAAGTACATATGCATTCCTCTCGTTATATTGTTGTGTAAATTAAATGTAACAAAGCTAGTTACAGCATATTTTTGTCTATTTGATAGACATTTTAGAAGTTCTACTTAAGCTGCATGTTTTATTTTAATACAGGTGGCCATACCTTATCAGGTGCTTGCATTGAACCAAGATCTCTGGAGGAATTGTTTCCAAACTGGAGAGAAATGGGAGTATGTAAATAGTTTAAAAAAAAAAAAACAATAAGCAAGAGCTTGCATGATCTACTGTAAATGCAGATATATTAGTTTTAGATTAAATTCTGTTAATTTGTGACAACATTTTATACCAGTACTTTAATTAAATTCCTAATGAAATCTTAGCCAGAAATTTACTTAAATCCCCATAAAATGTTCACTCTGATCTCACGGTTATTCTCACCACAATGTTCTGTACGTTTGTTACTTTTATTGACAGGCACCACTGAAGACTGAGGTGAAAGAAGACAAGTTTGCTTTTCTGACTGAGAAGGGAAGGATCCCTATCCCAGTATTACCAGGTATAGGAGGAGTACCTGTAATTATTGTTATCATGGAAATGTGTAATGATGAAATGAAATGATTGTTATATCCTGCAAAAATAACTCAATTTGGAAATGTCCATTTCATTTCCAAACATCCAGTCATGTACATAACATTATTTATTCAACACATACATTGAATCACTGCACTGTAGAGTAAAATACAATTAAAAATAAATTATAGGAATGCCGATGAGTAACCATGGGAATTACATAGTGAGGCTGGGCAATGTTGTCAGATGGCTTGGAGAACAGGCCGAGGCATTAGGTGTGGAGATTTACCCGGGCTATGCTGCCAGTGAGGTAGGAAACTGAGAATGTGGTGTAGCTTGCGTATCTATATATACATGTACATGTAAACAAAAAGAGAGGCTATCTTTACCTCATAAATAAATATCGTACATTATGAAATTCTATCTCATTTTAGTACCAAAATTTGAATGCTTAATAGAGCAGTGTATGTAGGATGTTAACTGATATGAATATCTGTCTGACATTTATCATTGGTTAAAGAACTGTACCTTATTTATAATGTCATCTAGAATTGATATTGATGCATAACTTGTGTTACATCTAGGTGTTATTTCATGAAGATGGTAGTGTGAAAGGAATAGCCACGAATGATGTAGGAATACATAAAGATGGATCTCCAAAGGTAAATTTACAGACTGTCAACATTGCAAAACATCAAACTGTTTGTAAAGCATTCCTGATAATGTTTTCAACTAATTTTAGGAAACTTTTGAAAGAGGTATGGAACTCCATGCTAAAGTGACAATATTCAGTGAAGGATGTCATGGACATTTAGCAAAACAGTTGTACAAAACCTTTGATCTCAGGAAAGATTGTGAACCACAGACTTATGGGATAGGCTTCAAAGAATTGTGGGAAATAGACCCGGCACTTCATCAGCCTGGGCGAGTAGAGCACACAGTGGGATGGCCCTTTGTAAGTTTCCTTCTCTGCAACAACATCAAAATGCATCTTGATTCTCAAATTTCTGCTAAAATTATTAAGAAAGGTACTTTTTAAATTAGAAATAGAATAATTAACAGACATGTAAAACAAGGTTAAAAGACATTCTGTCATATTTGTATGACTTCAAAACGTTTATGTTACATGTACATGTATATCACAACTGCAAATTGGGTATAAAATTCTCTATCTCTTCCTCTTTACACACACAAGTTTGACTTTCCAGAAAGCCTTGATTTGGTTGTAAGAATGTCACTATTAGAATGAAAAGTATAATGCATCTTTTTTTTCAGCTCATAACCACGGTGAATATTTTACATTGTTGAATTCGAAGAAGGGTTTTTGAGACCATTTATTAAAATGCAGAAACATTTTGAAAAGACAACACAAACAGCCAATCTTTACTTTTACTATATTGCTTAAACCAGGAGATTGCTATAAGCCCCATGTCCCCTTCTGTCTTCATGTTAGCAGATGCTTGCTCTGACAACTGTCCAGAAGTCTCAAAGCTTCAACAAGTCCTTCAGCGGCTTTCAGAAGCTTTTTTCTTAAATGTATTTCTCTAAAGTGACCTGGCCACAGAGCCACCCGGGATATAAAGGTAGACCTGGGCCACTTCTAAGCCATAAACTTTTGCTGCTCAGTTTCCAGTTATAGCGATATGTATGTCACTAAAATTCATCACATTAGTAGACACTACTAGGCAGGAAAATATGTGTAGAGTGAATAAAGCAAGTTGTATTAAAACAGTGTGGATCACTGTTTATTTTTTCTCTAGAGCTACATATATGTAATCATTTACAAAAAAAAAATGTATCTATTACTTATATTATAGAAATTTCAACATCAATTGTACAGAGTTACCAGTCATTAGTGCCAGACCATCAGCAAGTATAAACATGATAAAGAAGTTCATACTCAGCAGTCTTTATCTGATTTATTTTTGCCACACCACCAGCTAATAACTGGCAGCTTACAGAAGATACTTACTTCTGGCTTTCAATATCAGTGCATCATCCCGCTTGGGAGAATATAATAAGATATACTATATCTCTATGCTGGGATACACATACACATTTTTTAGCCATTTTAGGATAGAAATACATTGTATTGTATGATGCAAATGCCATACTTACGCTTAAGGATTTCTGAAAATATTTCTACAGTAAAATTCTGTCTGTAACTTATGACATCACTTGAAACAAATCAAAACCTTTTTACACAGGTTAAAAAAAATCTTTTTCCCAGAACATTTATTATTTGATATCTCATGGTTGACAAATGCATTCATTTCTTTGATGCCATTGTAATGGAATACAGATGTATGATCAGTAACATGTTTATCAAGTTTGACGTTGTCCTTTACAGGGCTAGATTTTTTTTTGTTGCAACAAAATTTTTTGACACCTGGGTATAATCCGAAATGAGCTCTTGCCATCAAAATATTTATATCTATTAAATGTATTTTTAACTTACAAGTGATGTTGTTTGGGTTAATAAGTTATTTTTAATGTTTCAGGATAACAGGACATATGGAGGGACATTTCTGTATCATTTAGATGAAGGTCCCCTTATTGTTGTCGGGATTGTGGTAAGTACACATGAACCGAGGTTTTTTCTAGCCTCATGTGTATCAATTAGATTCACTTTTTTAACATTATTCAAATTGAATAGAAGGAATTCTATGATGAAAATAATACTGTACTAAAAATATTTATTCAAGTGTGCATTATAGTTATCTATCATTTCATCTTCTGTAATTCATATAATTATAAATGACTTTAAAAAAAAATAATCATACTGTCAATATTGCAAATTCCATCGTTGACATTTAGGAATGTCAAGCCCAGTTATGAGAAGAGTACATATGTATTTATTTTCATGTACTACCAGTAAATTTGTCTGTGTTGCTTTGCAATGGACTGTTCTTCCATAGTAAAATAACTGTTTTTTACAGGTTGGACTTGACTACAGAAATCCTTATTTAAGTCCATTCAGGGAATTCCAGCGATTCAAACACCATCCCTCTATTGAACCTCTATTCCGCTCTGGTAAAAGGATAGGATACGGTGCACGTGCACTTAATGAGGGAGGTGTTCAGGTAATGTGATAATACAGTCAAATAAATGTATTACTTATATAAATGTAGATACAGAGTTATAGTGTAAATGTTATTAGAGGAATTTCATGATTCAGACCATAAATAGGCCTATAAACTCACTAATAAACATTTATTTACTGTAGTCCATCCCCAAGCTGTCTTTTCCTGGAGGATGTCTGATTGGGTGTAGCCCGGGCTTCATGAATGTACCCAAAATCAAGGGAACCCACAACGCCATGAAGAGCGGCATCTTGGCTGCCGAGTCAGTGTTTGAACTCGTTACTGATGAGGAAAAAGTTTCACAGTCACCAACAACAGGTACATGTAATGGAGAAAGGATGGGTTTTACAGAAGAGAGTTTAAGAATCTTGTTAGCTTCAACATGATAGTCATTGATATCTGTATGAGAAATTCAGTTTCATGTATGAAACATCTTCTCTAACAGGATTAGAGCCAGTGAAGTACGAGGAGAATCTGAAGAACAGCTGGTTGTGGAAGGAGCTTTATGCTGTCCGCAATGTTAGGCCTTCCTTTAACACGAGTTTAGGAACCTTTGGAGGCGTACTGTATACTGGTCTGTTTTACTGGATAATGAGAGGAAAGGAGCCATGGACTCTTCATCATGGAGGTCAGTTTATATCGGAGTACTTAACGAGGCCCGATCTAGTTGATCTGTGCATACATTTTAACGCAACGTCGACTCAGGCACGTCACAGTACCTGGACTGCCGTCACAATTGAATACAATAACATCACAATTAAATTGACGTCAAATTGCGCAAAAATGTTTTGCGGATCTTGCTCTATAGACTGCTTGATGAAAGCTGGCTCATTCTGGCTTTTTTTTTTATTTACTTACATGTTTTTCGAAAATATTTTTTTAGATTAATAAACAACTTTGAAACATAATTTATTTGAGGTATCAATTTGTTGGAACTGATTCATAAATTTTATCTTGTTTTATTCCAATTTGTGAGTTAGAAAAAAATCCCACTGCAACCAAAAGTAAATGATTTTAGTCTTTCTCCTCAAACATTGAAGTGTTTATACTCACCATTTCTTATTGAGCATAAAGAGAAAATTATGTCATATTAATGAAAGAATAATTTAATTTTCAGAAACTTATACATTATTACAATCGTTTGTTGATGTAATGTAAAGTAAACCTATTGCAACTTATAAAATACTAGCACATAGTTGGATGAAATAAGTCCTATTTTTGTGTTTTGATATGCCCCCTTTTCACTGCAATAAAGGCTACCTCCGATTTTCTTTTCAATTCTAAAAAGAGGGATGTGAATTGCATGATATATGTGAAAATCAAAACATTTCATCATTTATTTTTTTTATTTGTCAATTCCTTTGTTTATTGCGGAGTTTTAGTATGTAATTATGTATAAAAACACGAAAAATGGTCCATATCTTGAAAGTGCCCCCATTTGACTACAATAAAGGCAAGGTAACAAAATTTCTAATTTTTCTTAGCATAATACATACAGATTTATTTCCAATATTAATCAAAATTTTTTTATCATTCCGTTTTCGTAATATCCAACTAGATTGGGCCTCGTTAAGTGACATATAAGTACATTTAATAGAATTATGATTCCTATAAAACATATAGTGTTAGTTTAGAGTGCAGATGCTATAACCATTAATTGATCAAGAGGACCATTTTCGACAGATACCGGGGTACACGTATATATTTATTTGTATATTGTATTTGCTGCTTATTTTAGGACCTGATAATGCAAAACTAAAACCAGCTAAGGAATGTCCAATTATTGAGTACCCTAAGCCTGATGGGGTTGTGAGTTTTGACCTTTTGACCTCAGTGGCCTTGGCAGGAACCAATCACGATCATGATCAGCCAGCCCACTTGACATTACTTGATGACAGTGTTCCTGTCAATCATAATCTGGCCATTTATGATGGTCCTGAACAAAGATTTTGTCCAGCAGGTATGTTTTCTACTAGTTATAATAATCTAATTGTGCCTCAGGATAAACCCCCATAACAGTTATGATCATATGACCATGTCTCAAAACAGGTTCTCTTTACAGTTTTAACAGTAATGTACACTGATCAAGTGTAGATCACCAGTATAAACAAAATATTGAATTATAAATCAACTGTGACATACATGTATATGTTGGGCATTGAATCCGGGGCCCTTGTATCACTTTTCTGGTCTCTAACCACGAAGCTAAACAGGCCGATGTCCACTGCTAAAGCCAGATCTACCATTAGTATACATGATAAGCAGATGCTCCATGGATTGTTAAGAACTACTTAAAGATTCATTTTTTTTGTGTGCACACCACAGATAATGGTAAAATCTTTAATTTACAGGTGTGTATGAGTATGTGGAGTTGGAGGATGGCAGTGGTAAAAGACTACAAATTAACGCTCAGAACTGTATACACTGTAAAACCTGTGATATCAAGGACCCTAGTCAGAATATAAACTGGGTGTGCCCTCAAGGAGGCGAGGGACCCGCTTACAATGGCATGTGAACAAATAAGGGTGTCTTCCTGGGAAATCATTGCTGTGACCTCATTTTGTGTCTCGAGGTGGACACCAGTCATGTGTTCCCACTTTTTATGCACCTCTGCAATTGCCTGATGTGATAGAATGAAATATTTGCTTTCATCTGCAAACATACTCAGGGAGGGATGCTTTTCACAGACTCAAAACAGTAACTGTATTATTCTAAGCTTCTCTGAAACTGAAGATGTTATCATTGTTTTCATCCAATACATATAACTGTTGATAATCATAAAACAGTTTGTCCTTTATTTCTGTAATTCTGTGCATTCTTGTATGTAAGATTTGAAATGAAAAAGGCTTTTGCATAAACTGAAGTGATATTGAATCTCTTGGCAAAAGGCATGTACATGTAAATCAGTTTTCCAAATTTAGAATTCTGTAAACTTAATTTAAATTGATATATCCTATTTTTTTATGTATATACTTATTATTTTTAAACTTGGTTTTGAATATTTTAACTATTAAATTAAGTTATAATGTATTAAAAGTTGTTGAAATGTATTCAGTGTTACAATGTTCTCATTTAGGAAAGTAAAATCAGGGTTATTTATTTCTAAGAAACTCAATACATGTATTCACTAATATTCAAGAAAAATGTATTTTCTTGCTGGATTGAGTTTCTGTAAATTAATATTTTCAGACAAGGATATACTGCATATAAGTCGGAAGGTACTGTATAAGTGGAATTTTTAGCATGGCACAAATTTAGCAATTTATCCCCCCTCCCAGAAGTATTTCAGCAGAAAGTAATTTAGTTAAAATAATGCCAAGAATCATTGATTGATACAGAATAAATTGTTGGCGATATTGAATTGATTGAAAAACCCTCACTTTTAATGCCAGGATTGAATCCACTAAAAATTCTGCTAAAGAAAATTGAAGAAAAATGAAGGAAAGGTCAAGGTCAAAGTGTTGATGAATTTGAATAGATCTCATCAGTGTGTATCAGGATATAAGGTTTGCAACAAATATTTTGAACAGTTTCTTTAAGATTTGGCTTCAAATAAATTTAAGAAAGGTTAAAAATGTTGAACATGTTGAAGTACTTGAATAGTTCATTTCCCAAAATGGAGCCAAAAGAAGCTTGTTAGAAGTGCGCATGGCATGGCTGTACAATTTATCAGAAAAGCATTCCTGACCCTTGGATCTCTGGTATAATTATTTTACAACATTGCTTATACACTGTATTAATGAAGGAAGGAACTGGTATAATGTATTTTGAATACTTCACCATTCATCCCTTTTCCAATGCCTGAACCTTGGGCCTATAAGACTTGAATTTCTTTGATAAGATCTCACTTTGTCAGCTAGATACTAGCATCTAGGAGGATAGATTTTACAAATTATTTTGTACCATTCACTCCTTCAGTCTCAAGACCAAAAAATCAATTTTTCATGCTGCAATTCTCTAAGTCTTTCAATTGAAAAAAATTAATTTTCCTCCATTCATGATGCATCATAAATGTTTTAGTAGTCAGTTTGGATAAAAGCCCAAAGCTGGTTTGTATAAAGGGAAATAACTGCAGATACATGTATTTGTTCTGCTCTGAAACAAGGGAAATAACTGTGCTACAACCTGCATTTGATCCACGATGAAAATGTTTCAAAAATATATTTATTGAACACAATCAAATGTATAAAGTACATGTACATTTGACTGAATGGTATTCATCAACTAAGCAACAGTGAAATAAAGAAAAAAACATCAGTAATTTGTACAAACTATTCTGCTAAAAATCTGATATATGTACATTCTTTGAAAAAAGGACAGAAAGCTAGGAAAAGAAAGTAAAAAAAATTACACATAACATAATCAACATTTTCATGAAAGTATATACAACTCTAGATTTTGGCATGACAGCTCTTTATTTTTTGAGAACCTTGCTTCTTACAGTGTCTGGTCTTCTACAATTAAAACAATAGTACTCATGTGTAATTACCAATTACCATTACCGGGTTTCTGAAAGAGGGTCATTTTTTAAACAAGTTATAAAATATTTTATGCTGGTACATGTGTATTTTGAATTTTAAATGAATTTTAATCCTTTGGTAAAACATCGGAAGTAGGAAGATAGCTCTAGAATGGATATATACAAATAAAAACAGTAAACCAATTTTCATGAAACTTCAACAACATCATATGTGTTTATTCAAATAAAAAATACAGATGGTTTACAAATCAGATAAAAAAAAATAGCCAATGCCTAGATACATGAGCTTTTCAATGCAATAAGGAGATACCACAGGCATATGGAGTTCAATGTAGACAGCCTCTTTACAGGGCTAGTCACTAGGTTTCTTTGAATCTTCAAATTTATCGGTAGAACAGTGATACAAGATTAATTTAAGACCCCACTCTCTAAATCAGCTCTTCAACACCAATAGTTATTACAGGAATTGAATCTACCAGTAAATGCAATGCATTAATGATACAACACTGTAGTGAAGGTAAAATGTACTGATTGACACACGCATTGTTTGACAAGATGCAACTCTGACTGTACTTTTAATATTTATTTTAGATGTAAAATGATTCCTATGTGTGAGGAATGTCCCTACTAAAATGTCAGCCATCTGTATCCTTAATAGAAAACCTATTTGGAAGAAAGAATATGTTTTAAAAAGTATAAATATTAAATTTTTCTTGAAATTTCAACGTGATCACTGATCTGTATCAGTTTGAATATCTACAACTAATTATCTGACTAGTATTGAAGGAGGAGTCCTGGCATTGAAAAATATCTTAAATGAACAAAAGATTAAGATGAACCTTGAACAAATAAACATACATTTGTCTCCTTATAAAGCATTAAATACAAAAATAAGGTGCATTCGGAATAAAAAATGTACTCTTTAATGCTAGCTGTTCAGTAATTTTAAAACTTAGGGCCTATTTTACAAAAATACAGTTTAACTATATTAAAGTAAGAATCAAAGCATTTCAAATCTTAGTGCTTGACACTATTTCAAAACAAAATGAACAATATAAAGTTAATTGGTGCATATATTATCAAAATTCTATTGCTTGGTATTTAAAACTGTAACATATATAATGCTTCTTGTGCTAAATCCTCTATTGCCTTCAAGTCTCAATTACCATTTGCACATTGTGTACTTTATTTGTTCCCCTTTCTTAAAATGTCTCGGATATAAATAGGCATGTATAATTACAAAACAATATCTAACCTACAATAAACACAATAACAGTTATTGTAAATGATGAGTGTATATTTACAACATTTTTGACAACATGCATGTACTTACTACAAGCAGTTTCTATATATAACAATTTAGCACCATGTGCTCATCATTTACATGTTCTTGCCTATTTTATATATAATGATAAATAACATTACACTAATATTTATTAATTTTGCCATTAAAGGCATGGCAATAATTAGTTTTCTGAATATTTTTATTTACTGAACATCCAAGACTAATCATTTCAGTAGAATTTCAAGCAAGATGAAATCTAGAAAATTGTCCTTAAAAAGCAGAAAATTATCATAGTAAGAGGCAATTTTGGTGATTCCCAATACTTAAGAAACACATGGAATGAATTATCAGTGAAGTTTAATTTAGCAATCTCAGCATCCATGCATTAAATACCACAACTAAATCTAATACTTCAATGGTTTGTAGCTGTATAATAGTGTGCGAGGCTGACAAAAATCATTCCAAACATCCAAAGAAACTTCATGTTTATGTCTACATGAACATGCATTATTGACCACATGTACATGGCAATAGGACTTTGTTATGATTATATATCCTTTACATTACTAAACAAAAAAATATGGCAATGTGAAAAATAATGCCAAAAAAAATTGCTCCAGAAATGAGCTAGGCCAATCATAAAATGGCAGAGATGCCACACCAGCATTTCAGTCCGACTTCTTCTCCGCCTCTGACTTTTCCGCACTCTCGTCTTCTGTGTCGGTGTAGTCATGTGGTATCTCTCCAGGTTTTAACAGTTGACCAATATAATCATATTTTTCTACAAAAAAAGTTTAATCAAAAATCTTAATAATTTATTTAAAAACCAACATCTAATAATATTATTGGCATCAAAATACAGCTGGGGTCATTATTTCTCAATCAAGATTGATGAAGTTAATAAAATCACCATAAACCGTCCTTAACCATATTTTAGCCAATAACACAGTCTGAATTAATTCCTCATCATTATATCACTGGGTCCTGGTATGTATTTAGTGCTACTATTTTTTTTTTTACCAAAATCCTATTACATGTAGTTTAATTAACAGTGATCTTGATGTTTAAGTTAGTAATTTGGTGTAAGCAAATGTCTCAACAGCTTTAATTAATCAATGCCCCAGCTGCAAAATGCAGAATTTTAAAATTTTTTCCAAAGAATTTTTTTTTATTTTAAACTTCAAAATTGATTCAAAATATTGAAAATAAATGAATCAATTTTATGAATCTTCAAGGTCACAAAAATATAATTATGATGTATTGCAAAGAAAGGGCGTCCAGATGATAAGGCCAAAAAACCAGAAGTCTCAGTCGAGACTGTAGCTCTACTGGTTTATACTTAAAACAAAGGAAGAGAAAAGTAGCAGTTGGGACTTGAGACTTTAAATCAGCAATAAATAGAAAAATGATCCTTGCCACTCATCAAAATAAAAACCAATGCACAGAATTATGTATCTTAGTATAGTCTACTTGTGTGCCAAGTTATAATGAAATTGGACCAAAACTGTAGGAGGAGTAGCATTTTGAAAGAATTTCACAGAAATTTCTATTTTTAGTAACCACGGCAACACCGTTTATCGAAATCAAAAACCGATGCACAGAATTATGTATCTTAGAGTAGTCTACTTGTGTGCCAAGTTATACTGAAATCGGACCAAATCTGTAGGAGGAGTAGCATTTTGAAAGAATTTCAAAGAAATTTCTATTTTTAGTAACCACAGCAACACCATTCATCGAAATCAAAAACCGATATACAGAATTATGTATTTTAGTGTAGTCTACTTGTGTGCCAAGTAATATTGAAATTGGACCAAAACTGTAGGAGGAGTAGCATTTTGAAAGAATTTCAAAGAAATTTCTATTTTTAGTAACCATGGCAACACCGTTCATCGAAATCAAAAACCGATGCACAGAATTATGTATCTTAGTGTAGTCTACTTTTGTGCCAAGTTATATTGAAATCAGACCAAAACTGTAGGAGGAGTAGCATTTTGAATGAATTTCACAGAAATTTCTATTTTTAGTAACCACGGCAACACCGTTCATCGAAATCAAAAACCGATGCACAAAATTATGTATCTTAGTGTAGCCTACTTGTGTGCCAAGTTATATTGAAATCGGACCAAAACTGTAGGAGGAGTAGCATTTTGAAAAATTGTTTACAGACAGACAGACGGACGGACGGACGGACGGACGGACGACGGACGCATTACTATCGCATAAGCTCTTCTGGTCTCTGACCAGTAGAGCTAAAAATAATAGTCTTGTTTCCTGCTACCAGCCAGAAAAAAATAGGGTAGGTAGGTAGGAAAATTATTTTATTTTTTAATTTTATTTTATTTTTTCCAACGGTATCTTTTTGGACATGAACTACTACAAAACCAAATTGAACATATCATAGCTTAGATAGCTAAGGTCAATATCATCTTTCAAAATGAAATTCCATGTCTTTAGATGCACAACTCAAGTGGAATTTTACGAGTCCATATTTTAAACATATATTTCATTAAATACAACTTGAGAATATATAAATTTTTTCACTTTTGAAACATGAAATTTCTGAAATTTTGAATTTTTTCCCCAAAAGCTAAAAAAAACTTTAGGGTCGGGTGCAAAAAAATAGGGTAGGTCGGGTAGCAGGAAACAAGACTATTTTTTATTTTGGCCTAAGTATTGCTTTCCTGTCAGCTTTTGAAATGAAACTAAAGGTTATGATCATCTTTCTTACCCCATTCCATACTGATTTTGAGGTCAAAATGAAATTCATAAATTTGTATATACGGTAAAAATGGTTTTCCGATTTGCATCAGTACTGTCAGTCTCTATGTTTTAACACAATGATCCCAATTGTTTCCGAGTGAAATGGTCAAAGATCAAGGTCACAAACTTGTTCATTATCACAAACTGTTTTTGGCTAAAATCAAAGTGTTCTGACTTATATGGGGGATACAACATCCTTTAAATAGAAATTGTATATCTGGGTTCAGGGCAAGCCTTAATAGTGTAGCTGCAGCATAGCTTTCTTGTCACTCAATCACATTGTGTTATTTCCATTCAAATTTTATTCTAATTGTTCATGTTATTTTCTGCTTGTTCAATGTGTTACCTGTAAACTGCATCTCCCACTCTCTGACACTTTCCATCTGCATGCTGGTTAGGTCAGAAAGGTCATCAAACTCATCTTTTAAGACATCTTCTGTCAGAGAGAATGTTGCCAATCCTCTGGATGCATCACGTCCAGCAAATACTCCATATGGAGAACCTGGAAACAATTTGTCAGTCTATTATTTTCATTGCTTCTTATCACTTAGTTTTTTAATTCATTTTGAGAATCAATTCACATTTTCAATTTGGGCAGCAATAATCCTCTTTCATGTATACTGTAGACACTACAGGGAAATTTTCGCCCCATTTTATTTTCACCCTTGTCACAAGTGGGCAAATTTAAAATGGGGTGAATTCAAAGTACTTAAAACAAGATGTTGCAAGAAAAAATAAATTCGCCTGAACTTAAATAGAAATATATAGCAGATGAATAGTGCATAAAGCGTTTTTGATTAAAATTCACACTGTTCATACTTTGATTTGGTAATGCAACATACATATGACATCATGTGATGTTTGAGTGTATTTGTAGCAAATGGCATGAGTAGTTTAATGAGCCTGATCTAAATTAAAACTAAAACTAATTATTAACTATCTGTGGTCGCCCGAATGGTTTCATCATCAAACATATTAGATTTATCGGACTTTAATAGCTTAATATAAGCTTAATATAGCTACATCAAGCAAAATCAGGAGAACAAGAGATTGCACCGAACACGCTGAACCTGATAATTGTTCTTCTATCAACATCCCACATAATGAACCCATATTCTACTCTCAAATTGAAAATCAAAGTTTACCTGGCCCATAAAATCTTTTCCCACGAGTTACATCGAAAACCTTTCCATTGACAGCTATTAGAATTCTTCCTTCTGGGCCTTTACCATCGAATTCACGCAATTGTTCTAATGTGAAATCCCTCTTTTTCATTTTTGGTAATTCTGGCTTTTTGGGGGGAGGATCATTGTTCCCTCTACCTTTTATTATTTTATATAATAAAAATCCACAAATACAAAGTAATCCAATATTCAATGGACTACTAAACAGTTCAGTAAATACTCTAGAAAGAAAACCACCATCACTTGCACTATCATTCTCCGCCATTTTTTTTTAACAGGAAGTGACGAAAAAGTGAGAAAAGGGAAAAGGAAAAAGGAAATTCTGTGTAAAATGCAAACATAAAAAAGTATCTGTTTAATTTATCGAGTTAAAACCACACAAACAAATAATGAAACTCTATGGAAGTAAATTTTTGCATTATATTTTAGGCTTTAAAATTGGTAAAATTTATTTCGGAATTCTATACACTAACCGTTGAAGGTCGAAAAGTGATTTCTACTTTCACTTTTTAGTTAGGCCAAATGGAATGATTGATTACACAACGTGAAAGAAGACAGATTAATGAGGAAACTTGTTGTTAAAGGTTAGGGATTTCATAAGATAATGCTAATTTACAGGAATTTCTAAAGTTGCCAAGAGGAGTATATTTCTTGATTGCCTTACATATTTAGCTCACCTGAGCTGAATTTCTATTGAAAAAGCCCATGGTGTCTGTCAGTCTAACATTCTGTTTGTTGTCTGTAAACTTTCACATTTTTCAACTTCTTCTCCAGAACCACACTTGCCACAAATTATACTTGGGTGAAGGATATTTGAGTTTCTTTACAGGAAGAGTGACACCCACTGTGAAAGGGGATATATAATTGTCAGGTCCAGCACAATTAATACCCTGATAAAGGTATATAGCTTTATCAAGGTATTACAAATACCTTGATCAAGGTATTTTATGTAAAGAAAATACAAAAAAAATTCTAAAAAAATTATATTTAAAAGTTGAATTATGAGTTGTGGTCAGTGTGTCCACTCGTGCATGAAAAGCACTCTGGTATCAAAAAGACAGCATAAAAGAATGTCTCCTCACACAACATGCTGTTATGCTGATTTTTTGTGTTTGAGTACTTTACATGCATGAGTGAATTTACTGACAACAACTTTGAACTTGACTTTCAGTATTTAATATTTTAAGAATTTTTTTTGAATTTTCATTACATAAATTAAAATACCTTGATCAAGGTATTTGTAATAGCTTGATAAAGCTATATAGCTTTATCAAGCTATATACCTTTATCAGGGTATTGTGCTGGACCTGATTGTAACCATTTGGTGGCACCTTTTAAAAAACTGATGTTAAAACTTTTATACATCTGCATGACAGTGCAATCGTTAGGGCAAGCTAAGATATCTATTCCATTTTATTTAAGATTGGGCATGCCAAACCGCATGTGACATTTGCTACATCTGTAGACTCTGAAGTCACATGATGATGTATGTAAGTTGCATTACCAAATTGAAGCCTAACAGTGCTGAATTTAATGAAGAATGTTTTATTTACTATTTAGCTGCAATATATCTGTTAACCATGTTAACCAAGGCAAGTTTAATTTTTGTTGAATTTTTTTGTTGGTATATTCTTGCGAGAACAAAGCTTTAACAAGCAATGCATTGTGGGTCTAAAGTTAATGCGGAAGAAAAATTCTATTGAGTGCATGTGCAGTATAGATCAAATTTTCTCTTTGCCCAGGCATTGTTTTTAGAGCTTGCAGTGACGAGTGATGCTTTGCTTCACTCGCTATTATATACTGTATTTCCATATTTGAATCATGATTCGAGGCCTAGGGTGGGCCCACAACAGGAATCAATGCTTTACAGAAGAGAAAAGAATTATTTTTACAAATCTTTTTCTCAAGAACAGCAAAGCCGTGATAAGTCATATTAGCTAGAAGAAACATCTTCAGGTAGTTTAGATTTAAATTTAAATCATGACCCTGGGATAGGACAGGGTAACAACAGGAGAACTAATCTTTTACATTAGAGGACAGTGGGACAACAATTGGGAATCAAAAGTAATCAGCATACAAAGGAAAAATCTTGAAAAGTCCTTGAGAACAGCAAATTAATGTTTAGTCATATTTATATGGAAGCATCATCAGGCAATGTATATTAAAATATGTTCAAATCATTACCTACTTGGGTAGGGGTGGGGTATTTAAATGTTATCAAACTGAAAGTTTCCATAAGAAATGTAGAAATAAGAATCTGGTGATGATCAAAGAACGTAGGGTAGGGTCATAGTTACTTAGGTGAGCTTTATGGCCCATGGGCTTCTTGTTTATACTGTTTCAACTTTAATTGATTTACTTATTTTTTTTAATAGGTAAAGTGATTGTTGGTTGTTGAGATGCCCAATCTCGGAGACTGGAAGGTTTGGTGTGGAACTCTCCTGTCTTTCCTTGTTCTTTACCTCCTTAACCACATTATATTTGATGTTCCCTGTCACTCAATCTTCACTAAGCTCTGGGCTGGTGAGAAACTCTTACAATGCTGACTGCATCAAATCTTACATAAATAGCTTGGCTTTTAAGCTTTTGATATATTTTGTAGGTATATAACTTCACATATTGAAAAGGAATTTATTATTGGGATCTTTAATCCTTGGTATCCTTGTAAATTGATATTAAGGTAGTCCGATCCTCAGGTTTATAAAATTAGCTGTTAAGTGATTAGAAATACTCATAAAAGTATCTCTGAATCCACAAAGTTATGTAAATTTATCCACAGTATTTCTTTAAAGTTAAAGGTTTAAGTTAATCATATCATTTAGGAAAAATTGTCAAAATTCCAATATTTTTGCAGAAAAAGAGAATTGGAATATCAGCAATGCATTTTCTAATTGCAAATTGATCAACAAATATATTTTAGGTTAAAAAACGATAGGTATCCAGGCATTCAGAGATACTGTCATGATTTTTACACTTATTTGGTATTTTTTTTCTTTTATTTCCATCGTGTATTCTATAATTCATAGTATAAAAGGCTTTTGGTATCATTGCAAGACACCACAAATCACTTCTAATTTCATATCATGCTATTAAGCATTGGTATCTAAGGCTGGATTCAAGAAAATCTTATTTCTCTTAAACTGTATTAATTTTATTCCCTTTTGTAGGGTACAAATGTCAACTTTTATAAGACCTTTTCTGAGAATTCCAAAAACGTTGAATCTTATATAGATAAATAGAATGAAAATTGTTGCATGAAAAAAAATCATTTTCAAGCTTCATTTTGATGTATTTCAAATTAAATATTAATTTTTGGAGTTATCTTTCCTGACTGAGGATCGGATATCCTTAACATGATTTTTATTTTTTGATTTTTTGAAACATTAAATGTTTGTAAATTGCTTTTGGATGAGTTTGTATGACATGCCTCACTCCATATTTCCTTTAGCTCTGCTAAAACTATATTCTCAGGAAAAAGGAAATTTGAGAACAGATAAGGTCAAATGTAGCCAAAGCAGGCAAAATCTAATGTAAATATTTGTACTTTAAAATATGATTTTATTCACATGGTCCTGTGTTTCATCATTTATATTTATGTACCGATAATATGCATGTCAGCAGGTAAGGGTTGCTAAGATTAATTACATTTCAGACTAATTTTGATGTGTTCTATCTAATACCTTAGTAGTAAAGTACTTAACTGAAGAGAAAAAAAGCTCATTCTTAACATAAAGTTTTTCACTGTGTGCTCTTGTATTTTGTGTTTTTTCATTTAAACTAAATGAAGTAATTCATTAACGGCAGCTGTTCAGCCTAATGTCATTAACTCATGAGTAAATGTATTTGAATGATTTCAAACTTGTAGAATGATGTCAAACTTGTAGAAAGTAGAAAGCAGTGTTTCACATTGGTGCATGCAAGTTTTAAACACTAAAATCATATTAATTCCATATTGGCAAGAGACAAATAGAATATGCCATTTCTGTTTATCAGCTTTCTGATGATTATTTCTGACCCTCTGACAACAGTTCTATATCACATTAATTAGGTCATATGTCCATTACAGGACTGCTTGCTCCGGTATGTGGAGTGTCAGCTATAGTGTGCTTTGACGTGGCACGACGGAAATCTTCCACCTTCCACACAAACCGCAGCAAGTTTGACCAATATGTTGCCATTACTGGTTTATCCTGGATGGGTTGGTTTGCCAGAAGGAAAATGGATAAATCCTGTAAAGATGTTATAGGAACGCAGAACAGTCTTCTCCAAAGTCATCTGAAAGAGAATGCTGAGACGCAGTATGGTAGGAAGTATGGATTTTCTGATATACACAGCAGAGAGGACTATGTTAAGCAGCTTCCACTGACCTACATATCCCACTATGAACCGTACATTCAACAAATGATGAAGGGAGAGCAGAAAATACTCACTACTCGACCACCAGTCATATTTGCTGTCACCTCAGGGACTTCTGGGAAATCCAGTATTCTACCAATGACAGGAAAACAGAGGTTGTTGTTCTTTATTCAGGGCATCTCAGTGGCTTATCACAGCTTGCTGAAAGAATTTCCAGAAAATAACAATCTTCAGAAAACATTGAAATTTTTCTACACACCACAATGGAGGAAATCAGAGTGTGGTATTCTAATAGGCCCGAATTCCTCATCACCGACTAACTCCAAACATCTCCTCAATATATACTCTACACCAAAAGCTGGGTTTGAAATTCTTAGTGAGCCGGAGGCATTATATGTACATCTGTTGTTTGGATTGAGAGATAAAAGTTTGGGTATGCTAGAAGCCAATTTTTCCTCCATTATCCTGTCCTCGTTTGATGCTCTGTATCAGAACTGGTCCGACATTGCTGACGATATTGAGCGAGGGGAAGTGAATCCAAAACTCAACATTGAGGAATCAATCAGAGAGGAACTAAACTCTTGTTTAAAGCCAGACCCACAAAGGGCCAAAGAAATACGAGAGATAATGAAAACGGGAAGTAAAGTAGGGATTGGTAAACTGTTATGGCCTGATTGTAATCTTGTTTTAGCTGCAGACTCGGGAAGTTTTGATCTCCCTGCCAAGGTATTGAGGGAGACCTATTGTAAAGGGATTCCCATTTACTCTCCTCTGTATGCGGCTTCTGAGGGCCTCCTGGGACTAAACATCTGGCCAAAGAAACACCCCAGCCAGTATGTGCTGACCCCTCAGTCCATGTTCTTTGAGTTTATCCCTGTAGAGCTTTCAAATGAGGACCAGCCTAAGACCCTCTTTATGGACGAGGTGAGTACATGAACTGATTTCTGATAAAACAATTTTGAACTTTATTTCTTTTTTAAGTCTTTAAGTCTTGGACATGATTTTATTTGCCTAAGATGATTTATGTAAAATTTCCAGGTTGAGAAAGGAAAGGAGTATGAACTTGTTATAACTAATGCCAGTGGCCTGTGTCGATATCGCTTTGGTGACATCGTCAAAGTGGTTGATTTCTACTATCAGTGTCCTGTCATAGAATTTCAGCACAGGTGAGCTAAAATTCAAATGTATTCATAATTCAGCAGTTCTGATGACAAGTTACTTTTTCTGGCACTTAAGTAGTTTAAATAAGGATATCATTGATATTGAATTCAAATATTATGATGTAATCCAACAATAAGTTATACATTAATAAAAAGTTTTTTAGTACCGAAACATTATAAGTACCTACCATAGAGATTTTAAACTAAATTTCTCATTAGAAAGGGTCAGTTTTTGAATGTACGAGGGGAGAAGACTTCCGAGTCCCTCTTTTATCAAGCCCTGGTGGAAGCGGAGTTTGCCTGGTTTCCACAGAAACTTGTAAACTACTGCTGTGTAGAGAGTCTGTTGATTGATGACAAGGGTAACATTTGTCTCATTTCTAGCCAAGACTTCTTTGGTAATATGTATCTGCTAATTAGAGAAAGTGCTCTTTACCTATCTTTAAAAACCATGAAAACAGTTTAATTTATTATTTGCTCTAAAATTCAAATTAAATATACTTCCATTGGGTGTTGGCTTTGTTAAAAATTAGGGGAATGAAAAAAATACATATATGTAGAAAAATCCAGTCCTAATGCATGTACATTTTTCTTGGCAGTTTTTCCATTAAAGTTCCTAATTTTTTTTTTTCAGGAAACAGTTATGCCCCTTTCTATCACCTGTTCCTAGAACTGGAGGATGATTCTAAACTCTTAACACAAGGACAACGAGAAATGGTAAATGATTTACTGTAAATGTATTATATTTAGCGTGTATGATATTTGGCGGAAATTGACTTTTGAATAGGTTAGCGTAGATTTGATATAGCACATTTCTTCATATTGTTATTTATGTGTATACGTGCAAGACATTTAGCTATGTACTTGGTTTAGCGGTTGCTGCAATCCGCCAAAGCTGCTAAAAAGAATACGCAGCCAAACATAATACGTTTACAGTATTTTGGTTGGGAATCAAAAAGTGAATTCTTTTCTTCTGTTAGATTAATTTTTACTTCAACTCGACAAAGTCGAGATAAAGCTGAATCTTGCTATATCCCAGTTAAGTTTTAGGAGTAGGTCTATTCCAAAGTAACTTTGGGCCCTACTTTGACTAAACTTGCATGGATGATGGATGTAGGGATGAACCTTATCACACTTGCTTTGGATGCTAGATCTGACCTACTTTCTCCAGATGAGTGACCAGAATAATGTTTTGGTGTAGCTCTATAGTTACATGTATAGACCCGGTAATGTAAATGACAAAACCTGCATTAAAGGATGGACACTCCCAGACTTCTCCAGATGATGGAATGATTGAAATTTTATAAGGAGTGTATTTACTTTTACCACTGACAAGTACAGACAAGTGAATAGATCTGTTTTTCTATTTGTTAAGTGAATACTAAACTGTTGATCCCAGACCATTTTATTTCTTATTATTTTAGACAACATATCTATCAGTTGTTTTATTGATCTTCTGTTGCATTAAACTTAGGTGACTATTTTAGTCCTTGAGCCTTTTGTTTATTTTCAGGTTGACAAAGAATTGTGTTCTCGATCCTATGTGTATCAGTCATTTAGAAACAAAGGCAGCATTCAGCCTGTCAGAGTACATCAAGTAAAATCGGGGACATTTGAAGAACTGCGTAAATTTATCATCGACAACACTCAGGCCTCAGCAAATCAGTACAAAGTCCCAAGGGTTCTAAAAACTAAGGAGGCAGTCAATGTTCTCTTGAAAAATGTTCTGGATGGTAAATAAGTTGTGACCCCTTCCCCCATCAAACGGTGCACAGGAACAAACATAAACAAAGAGATAGCTAGAGAGAGATTAAATATCCAGTATAAAATATAAATATATTTATTGTTCTGGTGTTTAATATTATTAAAAGACAAATTCTTAGTTAAAATATAAAAGTTATTATTCCAGTATTTAATTTTACTGATGACAAAGTACCTTTGTAAGGACTTATTTGTGATTTTTGAATCTGATGTTCACAAATGTTAATATTTCTATTTGACTATAAGTTAGTAGATGATGTGCTTTTAAAGCTAGAAAAATTAATCTAAATATACCTGTAAATTCGAGTCTGATACAGAGTTTATAAAGGTACATAAATTAGAAATGAATATATATATTTCCAAATAATGTTGTACAGTTATAAACTGGTACAGTGGAGCCTCATTTATCTGGACGCTTTGGTTCCTACAATGTAGTCAATTTGTCCGGACATGTGAATCATCCGGATATATGAATTACCAGTTAAACAAGACAAAATAATGTTAAAAAATTCTGTTTCAATGAAAAGTTGTCCGAATACTGAAGCAACTGGATATCTGGCGTCCAGATATCTGAAGGTCCACTGTATTACTCCAGAAGTCTCAAATATGGGACTATAATAAAATCTGTTTTAAGTACAGGGTACCCTGTATTGTATTTGTTTTTTCCCCATCATTTTAGGTACTGTATCTTTAAAGATTTCAACTTTGTTTATGACCAAAAAGAAAAAAAGAACTTTAACACCCCCTCCCCAATTAAAAATCGGTGAGACTCCATTTTAGATTGACCTTGTAAAACCCTGCTTAGGAATCTTCAACAATAAAGCAAAATTTGTATAGTACGAACACAGATATAGCGAATTCACAGTTATAGTGAAGTTTTTTTTATCCCCAGCTATATAAATTTAACGTATTCCTTATATGGATATAACAAATTACAGATATAATAGGGAAGTAAATTAATAGTTCCCCGTGACTTCGTTACAACCGAGTTTTACTGTACAGTGAGTGCAGCCTTTTAAGTTGAAAAGAAAATGCTTTCTTTGTGCAGGAATTGATAGTTTCAACTCTTGCAAAAGAAAATGCTGTACTATGCTCTGAACTATATATTTAAGCTAAATTTTCCTATGTCAAGATCTGGTCTCCTGTAAAATATACAGTAACAGTGCAGTCTGATGATGAGAGCAAGGTTTTGAAAGTCCAAATCCTGTTTCCCATAAATTGTTAAATGCACAGAAAACCCTACATGGCTTGTAAAGAATATAGGAGTCTTAAGTATTGTAGCAATAGTTCAAAACAGGGGATATCATCCAAGTCTTTTGGCATACGTATAGCCCTGAGAATATCTATTATAAACCTTGATTACTGTTAATACCAAACAATCCCTATTAACCGCCCAGGGCGCTTAGAAAATTGCAAAAGGGGGTGGTTATTTTAGTATTCTCTTTATAATATGTAATGTCATATTTTAATTCCAAGAAATATTTGAAAAAAGGAAATAAATTCAAAGAACCACTAAAATAATGGTTAACTTTACTTTAAATGAAGACAATCTACCCAAATTAAGCTAAATGATTCATTTTCCAGACAGGTTTCATTTTCACTTTCTTCAATTTTGGCAGACTTTTCATATGATTCTAGATGATTTTAATCAATGTACAGGGGGCCATTATTTCCTGACATTGAAAAAGATCTAAGGGGGCGCTTATAGGGGCAGGGGCGGTTAATGGGGATTAAATGGTATATACTCACATACAACTTTATAAAACATAAATCTGGTTCAGGGAATCACTTAGTAATATAAGACAAAAGATGGGCACTTTGATCTAAAATTTATTGATTCATTTAATGTCAAACAGCAGAACATTTATTTCACACTTAAGTACATAAGTACTGAACTGTTCTCATTTTGGCACATTCTGCAGGAAACCCAGATGTGTACCATTGTACTAATGCCTCAGTATACAGAGTTTGTAAGGAGACATTCATTTAGTAACAATTTCATAAAAATCTAGCACAATATTAAACTGAAGATATGCTTTCTCCATAGTTAACCTTTATGACTTGACTTCTGAGAGAAAATGGGTGACAATGATCTTGTCTATACTTCAAAGCTTCCTTAGAATGGTCTATAAATATTTCTTTCATATAAAATCACCAGGATATTGATTTATTTTGAAAATCAGCTGTAAGTTATTTAAAAATCAAGTAGAATGCAATCACAATTTTATAACCTTCTTGAAAAAAATCAATCTGTCTCTTCCATAACCTTAAACAACAAAGTGTCTCTTTCCAAGGATGGACGTACATTGTAAATTTGTAAAATATCTTAATGTGAAGCTGATATAAGGTCACTGTAGCCACTGCAATCATTTCAAACAGTAATGCTTCATCTATACATGTACTTACTTATAAGTACACACCAGGAAATAAACAATGATTACTTACTTATAAGTACATGCCTGGTAATAAACAAGTAAGTGACACGGATTTACTGACAACACTTAACTTGTGAAAACTAAACTAATTAACTAATAAAGAAAAGACAGATTTACATCTAAATTCACACATATCTACATGTATTTCAAAGAACATTTTTATTGTCTCTTAACACCACACATAATACAATTAAAACAAGAGATGTTTGTAGAACACTTGTGCCCCCTCCCCCCACATTGGAATTTTTCCAAGTCCAAGGGGCATAACTGTCAAAAATGGTGCAATCATACCCAAAACAAAATTTGTCCTAGATATTCATCTGATAAATCTGTATACTAAATTTCATTTCAGTATTTGCAACGGTTGTGAAGAAAATGAACAGAAACTAAATGGACCGACATACCGACCGACAGAGAGCAGCAAAGCAATATGCCCTCCGTTCTCTGAAGGACAGAAAGGATTAGAATCTACACAATATATAAGGAGATGGGCAAACAAGGTGGGCAAAATGCCTACAACATCAATGTATAAAATCATATTCAGTTTGTATTACATATTTGAAGATTTTATCATTGAAAGGTATGAAAATGAGGACAAAACTTTTCATGTAGAAAATTCTTTAGACAAAAATCATACTGAAATGATAATTCTAAAAAAAAATGGTTTTCTTGGAATTAAAACCAAAGCAATAAGAATCCTTAGTGTCAATTTTCACGTCTTTCACTAAACACTATAACTACTCTATACCACACAAACAAAAAGAGGTGTTTGTAAAACACTTATGCCCCCCTCCCCCCACATTAGAATTTTTCCAAGTCCAAAAGTGCATAACTCTGTCAAAATGGCGCGATCGTACCCAAAACAGAACTTGACCTAGATATTCATCTGATAAATCTGTAAACTAAATTTCATTTCAGTATGTGCAATAGTTGTGAAGAAAATGAACAGAAACTAAGTAGACCGACTGACAGACAGCAGCAAAGCAATATGCTCTCCCTTCTTCGAAGGGGGGCATAAATATTGTCTGTGATCATGTTCAAATTTCAAACAATGCTCAGAAAGACACAAATGCCTTTTTTAGACACAGTGGCTTAAGAATTGTTCATTTTTGTCTTCTTTGATCTACACAGGTAGCTGTTTCATAGACAAATAATTTCTATATTTGTGAGATTGTTGCTATTTGTGGATATTTTTTATATTTTAATACATGTAAATGTTAAAATTTGTCTTTATTAAGATATAATTTTTGGGGGGTTGATTTTCGTAAAATACACGTGTGCATTTTACTTTGTTTGCCCATCTCCTTTGCAGTTGTGTAAGAAATGAAGCCAGAACTTAAAAAAAATATTTTAGCCACTCATTCAATGATTTAACAAACTCAATTTAAAGATGAACAGTCACACTTGTGGTATTTGAGATTGCATTCACACAGATGAACCTTGCTCTTTGTTTTGGTATACAATATATCTAACAACATTGTAGTGTGAAGGTCAAAACAAATCAACAAAATAATTTGGTAATTTTATCAAATTCTATGTCCACACTTGGTAATTCAATTGAAGAGTTCAACAAATAAAGAATGTATTTTTTATATACAAGTATGGATAATATTTTAGTCAAATTATTTGCTGTTTAACACATGAAACAAACATCACAGAAAAGAAGATGGGTACATGGAAAAATCTAATAAATCACACCAAAATCAAACATATTATGTAATATATACATATAATAAATAACATTGGACCAGCATTAAGATTATCATAGAATTTAAAATATGAGATGTACAACAGACTCTTTGGCAACAAGTGAAATAATTAATTTTTTTAAAAAAGATCAATACCCAATAACAAATGAGCTAGCTACATGAAGGACCAACTTATTGATATACTAAGATTCAAGTGACACAGTCATTATCGTATAGAATTTATATGTACTGTACATGTAGGTCTGTCAAGCCTGCATAATACATGGACTAGTTAATATCCTTAAAAGAAGAGGGTGTAATTGAAAGCAGCTCTTAGTAAATAACCCCACTCAAGTATTTTGTCAGTTTTGGCTTTTTTCACACAGGAGATATGAAGCTCGAATGACAACCTTCTGTAAATGTAATTTCCCTGATATGAATTTTATCGAATATTATTCACAATCATTCATCCAGCATGTTTCTCTTTGAAATGTAGATTTTAGTTATAGATCTATCTATTGTTTAGTGGTCTTCCAGAATTTTAGATACATGTATGTGATAGTTTACTGTATAAATAAACAATAACAAATATACAGTAGTTTCAAAACTTTTTCATCGAATATAATAAATATGTAGTAGTATAAGTGTATAACTATAAAGTACATTGTATCCATAATGTACATTTAAAATTAATATCATGTTTATTATGTAGTAAATTAAGTGGCTGCATAAATATTTGTCCTGAGCATTTATGATAGTTTTTATATTTAACTCAATTAACAATACAATATGCTAGAATTTCGGAGCATTGCCTCCATTAATCCTCTCCTATGACTACCTTAATTTGTAGATTTTCAGAGAATTCTGATATTGAATCCCGTTATTGATGACTAAGTACATAACCAACCGTGACAACAGCAACAACTCTCACTTATATTTAACTATCACAGATAAAACATAAATTAATACTGTTTGTATTATTTAAAATCTTCAATATATAGGACTAGGTATGTATGTATGTTTTTGTGTTTACATGTATATGAGTAATTTGTATATTTTAATATTTCTAGGACTTAAAAAAAAAATCTACTCAAAATCATTTTTTGAAATAAATAAGGTAATGTTTATTAGAAAAAATATTATAATAAATATACAGAATTGATGTACACACTATGTGCCTGCCTGATTTATTTTGAAATTCAATCACAGGAGGAGCTGCCTGTTTATTCCTTTACCAAAAACCCGAATGTGTATCAATGTACATGTATAACTGACTATCCATTTGTAAAATAATATGTACCATGTTAAAATTTGTAGAATTAACAGCATATAACAGTTAGCTTCATCATTCCACATGAATACTCTCACTCACACATATAAATACACACACATAATATAAAGATTGATAAAATTTCATAACAATATGTAAATAGCTATACTCTTGGATAACACTGAAGTCATTTTTATCCGCACACTGTATTATGGATGGAATATCTGCACATGGTCAGACAGAGAGAAGTGGTGGATCTAATTTTTTCTTACAGTGAGGTGTGGATCAATAGCCCCCTAGTCTCTGTCCTCCACCCCGTGAACATTTCCGTGTGAGATCATCATAGCTCCCCCCAAGTAAGAAACACACAAGTATAACAGTCATGTTGTCACAGCCTAGCCCTCCCATCTGACAGTCCGGGGCGAGACATCTCATCATCAACTCCTCACAAATCTACAATAAACACATTTACACATCATCAGCTCCTCACAGATCTACAATGAACACAATTACACATCATCAGCTCCTCACAAATCTACAGTTAACACAGTTACACATCATCAGCTCCTCACAGATCTACAATAAACACAATGACACATCATCACTTCCTCACAAATCTACAATAAACACAATGACACATCATCAGCTCCTCACAAATCTACAATAAATACATTACACATCATCAGCTCCTCACAGATCTACAACTAGCACAAAAAATAAGTCATCAGTTTCTTACAGATTTACAATGTTAAAAACCTATCAGGAGCAATGCTTGACTTATGATAAATGATGAACAATGATACACCTAATGTGTTCGGAACCTTTTATTTTTCGGTGTTCTACAAATTATAAAACCCAATGAGTTCGGAGTAGCTCTGGCAGTGGCTCTGGCGAGAGTTCGCGAGACTACAGCGAGATATGGTAAATTATTCACAGAAATGTGGCTAGGAAGTGACTAGCACGTGGAGACATGGTAAACAGAAAAGTTATGTTGCGTTTTAGTTTTCACCACCCTATAATATCATTCTGTAGAAATGTACTTCAATTGATCTCTCTTGAATTCATTCAAATTTAAATTATAAGTATTATCTATGATACAATTTTCTGCTATCATGAATTAAAATTTCTTTTTTGACAAATGTTTTTGCATGGGAACCGGGACTTTATTTTTTTGGCATCAGATTAGCAGAGGCACCAATGTAACTTTAACTGACCAATCAGCTGAATGAGAATTGCATCATGGGTTACTACGAATACTACAGGAATTTTATGCTAGATAAATTCCTTTATTGTACTATCGGTGAATACAATTGTCAGGTGGATTCTCTGGCCAAAACACGTGACCATGAGTGTGGTTATGTAAAAAATGTTTTGTCCATTTAAATGCATACGAAAAGCTGCCCGTTTTACTTACCCTTGAAGTGCTGGTATTCTGAACTTGACACTAACTACATATACATTTTATTAAACATATTTTTTCTAGTTGAAAACGAATTAAAAACGCCCATGACATTTTTCATAGTTTCTGATCTTTGCATTTTGTTCACTAGAACATTTTTTTTATTTTGCACTCCATTGACATGATCCTAGATTAACCTGAAAGACGTGTTCGAAGTGAAATGTAAATGTGCATTTGGCGTAAATGTATTCAATCAACAAATGGTCAGTTGTTCGTGGTTACATCCTCTGTGCGCATTAATAACAATAGCCATATAAGGCAAACAAAGGTTTGTCAGTGTAATGATATTGCACTTTTTTTTTACCAGCGTATCAGTCGCTAGTGAACTCTGATTTTTGCCGTAAACTATGATAAAATAATATTTTTAACTTTTTATTTAAACCCCCCCCCATCCCTTTAGCCACCCTTTTCTGGTGAAAATCATGAAAATCTTTCAGAAAAGTCTGGAAACACATTTTTCACAGGACATGTTTTCAAAAGAATTAAACGGACTATAGCAATTTCCTGTTTACTGCCAATTTTATTTATAAAACCGGTTCTACCCTATAATCTTTGAATAGGTAAACCTAAATCACGTGTCTTGAATTTAAATCACAATAACAATAGTAGGGGTGTGAAAGACAAAATAAGAAAAAGTGTAGAAATAGGCCACCTGATGAGTGAATGAGGTCAATTAAAAGAAAACATTAAAATGAAACAAAGACACAACATGGTATTTACATACAGATGTACAATACAAATAATTACTAAACCAAACCAGCCTTTACATGATTACTGGTCTTACTGTTTCTGGTTCCATTCCGTGAGCGATTCGAGCTCGCACAAAGTCTACTACCTCCTGATTGGTTAAAACATCCCAGATACCGTCACAGGCCAGAACCAGGAACTCATGGTCCGGAGTGATCTGTTTCTCTAGCACATCAGGGTAGGCTGAAATGATTCAATGATAATAATATCAGGGTATGCCAAAATGATTCAACGATATTAATACTGTTAATCTCAGCGAGATGGGTAGAGACTGAAATTTTGCTCTGACGTCTTCTAAGGGTAGAAGACGTGAGACCAAAATTTCAGTCTCTACCCATCTCCCTGAGATTATAATACTGTATGCAGGGAAATTTTTGCCCCTATTTTATTTTCACCCCTTCCACCCTTGTCACAAGTGGGTGAATTTAAAACGGGGCGAATTCAAAGAACACAGTATAAACTCTTATACAGAACTGGGGCTGAGCGAATTTAAAATGGGGCAAATTTGTAAGCAAGTGTAAAAGGGCAAAAATAACCCTGTTTACAGTACCAGGATAAACATGTGATAACAGCTAATCCTTTGAATTATCAAAATATTCACATGACACCATGCAGAATTAAATTTGTACAAAATAGCAAGACATCCATTTGCTGCTTTGGTCAGGTCCAATACTTACCAGTTACTATCTGGTCTTTTGAGTCCTTTTTATCATTTTTCTTAAAGACAAAATCACCCAATGCTCGAGACAATGCTAGGTTTCCTGTGAATAAATAAAAAACACAGATTGTGTTTATTGATTTTGATATTAGTTTCAATACTAATATCATCAATGAGAGGTTTAAACATTTCCAGATAGATCAACTTGTAATTCAGGTCAGCAAAAGGTTTTAAAAAGTGAAGAAAAAAAATCAATGTTCAATTTTCTCTTTATTGCTCAACTTCAGGTCAAAACACTCTCAAAACCAGCCGAGGTTCCAGAGTTTTTGCAATAGGTACATGTTGGAAATACGGGTACATGACGAGTATCTTGCAAAATTTCTTACCATTAACTCTGTTAAATTCCACCCAACCTCCGGCAGAAATGATTCGCTTGGTTTCTGCTTCATTTCCTGGCTTGTGGTCGTACGATAGCTGCTCAACCTGACCACGGACACTTGCAACACACCTTGAATCTCCAACATTGCCCTATAGAATGCATAAGGCAAAATATCTATCATTTTATCAAAAGAGAAGCCTTTTATCTAAATAAAATTAATGATTTTATTTACAAAAGAGACATATAATTATATTTCAATTAAAAAAAAATGCTATCCTACACTTCCATACAGCATGAGGCTACCTGATGAAGCTCTAAACCATCTTGATCAAGCAACACTAGGAGATGTACTTTGAATTTATATCATTGTTTTATTTTTTTAAATTGATGGTCTACTGTATGTGGTTGCCGAGGTCCTATGTTCCACCAGGAACCAACAGGAACCACGATGATGATGTATAACTATATGGTGCATAATTTAGAATCTGGATTTATATGTTAATTGTCAGAGCCTTTAAGACAACTCACACAGAAGATTTTGTTTCCCTTGAGTAGAACTACATTGGCTGTTGTCCCGGCTAGCTCATCCTTCATGTCGTTATCTGTAAGTACATAAGCCTCCACTACACTTGATTATACACATATACAGGCATTTCCTCTAAATATTGGTAAGTTATATTTTACAAGATTTAACTTCTTGTCTCTAAAAAAGACTTGCATACCTTTTATCATATCTTCATCCAAATCCAGAAATCCTTGTTTGAGAGCATCAGATATTCTTCCCTCGGCTGAAAAGAAAATCACAGTAATAACGAAGTTGAATTGTTTACTGTAGACTAGATCAATAAATTTTCGCAACACCTTATTTTCCCGAGATGGTATTTAACTGAATGTTAGCGAGACAAAATTTTCACGAATTGTGGTTATTGTTCCATATAATTGTAATACTAAATATTTTAAATAAAAGAATGAAAGATTCATGAGCACAATGTCTCTCGTAATTATGGGAAAATAAAGTTCTCATGAATAAAAAGGATTTACAGTATTTTAGAGGGTTTTTTTTTTTTTGCAAACTCTCATTCCTAAAAGAAATTCCAGAAAACAGACTTTTCTTCCTATACACTTTATTCCCGATTATTTAATCAAAATCCTTTTTATTTCTTTTTCCCAAGCTGTCTCTTCTTTCAAGTTCTTAAATCAAAATACTTCTAAGTTGAGAAAAACCTACTTATTTTCATGTCCTGGGTGAACTTATGGCACTTTGTTGTATGCTCAAGCTACCGGTAAGTTGCTTAACAATGAAGATGAACTTAACAATGGTCATCAACCTCATTGTGACATTTTAATTCAGAAGTTAACATAAACTTAAGTCAATACTTTACAGTATTTTGATGCATGGTCTTTAGATGTGAACAGAAAACAAACATTTGGTCTTATTCATTTCAATTATTATTATTATTAATGTGACTTCTTATGCTTTTATTTTTTTTTCAATACTTACAAAATTATTTTTAATACTTACCATGCTTACAGTATTTTGTTCTCTAATTAGGGTGAATTCACCATGAATCGGACACATACCTTGCTTCGGACAACTTTAAGCAATAAACTCTCTTTCAAGAAAGATATGGACCGGACACAAATTATGAAAATTTTCTTCCAGTGACCTTGAACTTCCCCAAATGACCTTGGGTCATGGCCATGACACACCCTTAGGTCATGGACAATCTTTGCATGAAATGAGAACCTACCAAGTTTATCCATAAGAAAGATATGGACCGGACACAAATTATGAACTTTTTCTTCCAGTGACCTTGAACTTCCTCAAGTGACCTTGGGTCAAGGTCAGACACACCTTTGGGTCATGGGCAATCTTTGCATGAAATGAGAACCTCCCAAGTTTATCCATAAAAAAGATTTAGACCGGACACGAATTATGAAATTTTTATTCCAGTGACCTTGAACTTCCCAAAATGACCTTGGGTCAAAGTCATGACACACCCTTGGGTCATGGGCAATCTTTGTGTGAAATGAAAACCTACCAAGTTTATCCATAAGAAAGATATGGACCGAACACGAATTATGAACTTTTTCTTCCAGTGACCTTGAACTTCCCCAAATCACCTTGGGTCAAGGTCATGACACACCCTTAGGTCATGGGCAATCTTTGTGTGGAGTAGTAGATTCTAATGTCCCTCCATAAGAAAGATATGGACCGGACACGTTTGCACAGACAGACCGACAGCTAGACAGACGGACAAGGTGATTCCTATATACCCCCCCCAAACTTCGTTTGCGGGGGGTATAAAAACTCTATATTTTCAGACAAAATACAAATTATATATATATGAGGTCTAGAATCTGACTCAATTTATTTCTACAAACCAGAGTATGATAACCCATGAGAGAAAGGTGCGAATTACCGCATTACAAGCATTTTAAGCATTTCTAAGACAAAGTGAGGCATCTTGTATCGTTCTACATTTGTGCAACGATATCGCCAATTATATCTAAGTTGAGGGTTATTTCTTAGATAAAAGGTGAAAGTTTATCCATATCAAGGAATTTAAAGCACTGTAATAAAGGTATATTTTCCCAATTCAAATACCGTCTGTCCGATGCATGGTAAACAACGTCCGATCCATGGTGAATTCTGGTTTATTTTTAAAAACTCGATTTTTTATAATATTTCCCAAATAAAAAGCATATAATTGTGTCCAAAATTTATATTTTAATCACATACTAAATGTTAAGCTCCATTTTGATAGTTTTCCGTTGGTAGCGATATCACAAGAACTTGTTGAAGTACAAGGGTGTCCGATGCATGGTGAATTCACCCTAAATATTTTGTTCAATATTCTCTTCAATACTAACAATATAATGTTCAATACTTACCATATTCTGTTCAATACTTTCAATACTCTGTTCATTAATACCAATATACATGATATAATGAGGTTATGTTCAATACTTACAATATTCTGGCCTGGATATCACTTTCTTATGCAAATGTTCACCGGCATACTGAGCAACTTTTGAGCCTGAAATATATACATTCATACATATGTATAGACTGCATTTACGTAATTTCAATGAAAATTAATTTCCCTTACAAAATAATTCATTAATTGTTTCATAGTAATCCACCTTTATCTCACAACATAGATTCTGTAATATAATAATTTACTCCGTCATATTTATTTGTCTTGGTAAATATAATCTTTGGAGAAAGATTCAGTCATACCTCCATGGCCATCAAAAACCCCAAAGAAGCAGGTGTCCTTATCATTAGGGAGGGACAGCAGATGTATGTGGGCATCCTCCATAGCTGATATTGGTCAAGGTTGACTGATTTACTCATATTCTGTTGTGATCCTTATTCTTTAAACTCTATAATTGATTGCTTTACTGTATAGGGGATTAATTTCACGGGTTGTAATTTTCACAGTTTCTCTAATCGGACACGATCACGGTTTCTTGAATTCGCGGAATTATGTTATTGAAGTTACCTCCCTTGTCTATATCCGTTTAATCCATAGCTACATGTAAACGACATTCACCACTGTTATGTCTTTATTTCACGAACAACAGGGTAGGTTAATATAAAAAAGTTAGACTTAATAAATAATTGACGATTAATTAAAACAGGTGCAGTTATCAAAAGCCCTTGACTATAAACGTCAAATAACTTTCCTATATTCTATTACGATGAGTGCATGTACACCCCAAGATCTTTAATACATCGCGGCAAAAAACCACTGGACGGTAATAATTGTGTTCATGTAGGTCGACGAAATAATATCCTTCAAAATCTTCAGTAAGTTTGATAGTTATTTGAATTATTTTTTTTAAAAATCAAAATGTCGATAAAAACTATAATATGCATGATAATGCAGGTAATGCACACACCGTGCGTGTTAACATTAGTTACGCACTGGTAATCAAAACTCATGGCCCACGTGTTTTGATTGATGAAACATGTAGCGTTGGTTATTGAAAAGCCTTTTAACAAATACAGGTTATTATCTGTTGATTTGAATTAACGTAAAGCATGCTAATTAAAATAATTGAATGCTGAGTACTACTCGTAATTATTGAAATGACCATGTACTGTGGTACATCTATTTAAATCTATCGTAGTCTATTCTCAAAGTTTCAAATAAAACATAGAGATTATTGAAAAATTATTCACTGTTTCTTGAATTCACGGATTTATTATCACCGTGAATATAGCGAATATTAACACCGCGAGTTATTTTCCCCCTATACAGTATATTTTGTATTAAACCCATGATTCAAAGCCCACCTGTACCCATGACTCAGAGTCCACCTGTACCCATGAATCAGTGTCCACCTGTACACATGACTGGGAGCCCACCTGTATGTACTTGTGTGCATTACTCAGAGCCCACCTGTACACATATCTCGGAGCCCACTTGTATACATGACTCAGAGTCCACCTGTACCCATGACTTGGAGCCCATATTGGGAATGGGGTCCAGGTCCTTGGAATGGGGAATCTAATGACATTCTTTCACTGTTAGGAAATTTCATTGCAAGTTTTTCAAGAAATAAACACTTATGATGAGTGAAATTAATGTCTTACGTGATTATTGAGAAGTATAATCAAGAAAAATGATCAATTATAACATTTTTATCCAAGTTTCCTAAATGTTTGATCAAATTTCCATACCTTAGCATTTTTTTCACAAATTTGGATCAAGTTAGCTTTTTGCAAATTTCTGAATTCTAAAATTGAACATTATGCAATTCATTTTAGGGAAAAAAGGAGGAGTTCTGCAACTGGCTGTAACAGAGTTGAAAAAGTGGCTTTGAGTTGTATATATAGTAAGGCCTCCACTCTACTAGTGGGTTAACCCTTTAGCTTAGTAGGTAGAACATCGGATTTTAAATTTGAGGGTTGAAGGTTCGAGCCATAGTGTGGACACCCTCTAGCTGTCTAGCTAGCCTGTCATATCGAGCTTGCCATACAATAGAACAAACAAATAATACTACAGTCTTATCCCTTTAAACGCATATTTGTCCATTATGTATTTTTAAGGATACTTATTCGCCATCCTTGCATACATGATGACCCAACTTTAACAAAGTTGTTCTGACATTTAGAAGTTTCCTTCGTTGTCACTGGTTCAGACAAAGTCTGACCCATTCCCAATCTGTAAAAGATTTCAATAATTATAACATAATTTTAAAGTATCGATTTATACGCAATTTCCTTTACAGTAAGGTATTCACATAGAAAAATAAACGGAGGAAATTCGAAACGGTGTCAAATCGTAATTGCCATGACAATTTATCTTCCCTACTATAAACAGGCGTGTAAACAAATAAAATTGGCAGTGCAAATCATTCTACGGGTAAAGTAATGTTTGGCTGTTCTTCTTACCAAATTAACTACTGATGATTAAGCCAATGTCATGAAATTACTTTGATTACGATTTAGCCACATTACATAATAAACAAAAACAATGCTTCCGCGATTAAAAGTATGTTCGTGTAGATCTACAATTTGATATTGAGCAATTACTTAGTTGATTTCATATGGATGAAATTTGCAAAAATTGCATTTTTCTATAAAATATAACAAAGTAATTTTCCGTCGAAAATGATTTTACAATCTAAAACGGCCTATGCGGAGTAATCCTGAAAGCAGAAAATTGTAATCTATGATAATTCGGTCCATGAGTGATTCGATCAAATTTTATATTTCCATAATTGGGGGAAAAAATCAACGAATGGTAATTAAGCCTTTCAATTTAAAATAACTATGCTACGTCTGTGATACATTTTTTAATTACTCAAACGATCTTTATATTGACAAAATCTGTAGGTTATAATAGACATTATTGTCCCTCAAATTAATTTTCTGTTGGAAATGACCCCCCCCCCCCCCTACAAATCGTGGAGTAAAAATTGGAGATAATTTGAGTCCGTCACTTTTAACATATTTATCGATGATTTTACAAAATATTAAGATTTTTCAAAAACATGCCCTGTTCAGTCAACTGAACCACAGTTGGTTGTGGAAGTTAGATGTACATAAAAAAAACTAACGCTATGGTATTTTCTGGTAAAGACTTAAAAATCCGAGTTATAAAACAATGACGTTTAAAGAAGATGTTCATTTATTCCTTTTGTTATAAAACAATGACGTTTAAAGAAGATGTTCATTTATTCCTTTTGTTGTTGAATATAAATACATATGTATTATAAGGTGTTGTCCTAAAAATAATGGTAAATTGAATGTGAGAAATTAGCAGGTAGAGCAAGGAAAGCATATTTTACAATCAAATCAAAATTACCAATTTTTCTCACTAGAAATTTAAGCTCAATTTAGTTAAGTGTTAATAAAAGGAAAAAAAGACTTTGACAATTAAAATTAAACTCCGTTTGAAAAAAAATCACATTTCATCTTTAAAAAAAAAAAAAAACTTTTAGGGGTCCATAATAACGCTTCCAAATTAGAGTATATTTTTTGCACTTCCCATTATTTTCAGAATTACAGATTACAGAAATCTAATTGTTTCTATAAAAACTTGATTTTACATACAACATGCGTATTTAGAGGATGAAAAACTATTAGGAAATGGAAAAACATGTAAGTAAAACTGTATACAAAGAAAACTTGGTGAAGTTATTAGTTCAAATGCTGAATTTTATAAATATGGATTCTGTAGAAGATTACGCCGGGCGATGGGCCATATATGAAAAAGAAGACGTTGACACTTTGTCAGAATGGATCAAATGTATAAGATGTATGTTAAAATTGCGTATTAATTAAAAGATGAAGGGGTAACATGAAAACCATCTATCCTTCTGTATTCAATAATCCAGAGGTGTAAAAAAAGAATTGGATATATTACATGATCAGTACGTACTGGTCCCTGCTGACAAAGCAGGTAACAACATTGTCTTTGTTTGAAAGACTCGTTATATAAAATGTAATTCAGAGGAACTTGGATTTAATTCTACAAGTGGAAATACAATTTATATACTCATAGTTCCCTTTCTATAAAGAAGGAATTCTTCAAAATCGAAATGTCAGTTTTGAATATTTTCAATATTTCAAACCACGGCGCTTTTTAATAAAAAAAATTATACGTACGCCCTTCGTAATATTACATTTTGATACATGTATGTGTATTTGCAAGTGTGACACGGCCTTCTGGTTGTAGTGTCCGTAAGTTTAGACCTCGAAAGACTGACCACAGAAAGAATTAATAATATGGTTATAGGGAATTTATTTTACGGAGTTTCAGTTGAAAATACAAGTGGGTGTGACCGACCTAAAAAATTCAAGATGGCGTCGATGTGTATCTTGTATTAAAAGGAAGGGGGTATATTTTTTTTATTAAAAGAAAGATAAGTAACGTCAGCTGCATGTGGATGTGGATACATAAAAATTCTAAGGAGCATTTGGAAAAAATGAAATCACCAGATCATACCAAAATCAAGAGCTTAAAAACTAATGACTTTTCAACTTTATACACAACCGTTCCCCGCGATAAATTAAAGTCCAGGCTTTTTGATATTGACAGCTGCTTTTCCAATAAAAATGGAACTCGTACATTTTCTTATCTTAATTGTCATTGGTCATTTACAAAATTATATAGTTAAAAACATTCTAATTGTACACACAAGTGCTCTGAGGTTGACATTAAAATAATGCTCGAGTTTCTGATTGACAATTTCAAGTGGTTTTGGAACAATCGATTGAAATTCTCATGTGTACCACTTTGTGTTAATTGTCAGTTAACAATAGTTATTTCCATTCTTTTTGTCGACACGATATATCCCGTTGAGTTTGAAATCAAAGCTCTACGTATGTACAATTTCTAGAACGAGGTAAATAGTTAAAGATGAAGCAAAAATTCAAGCAGTGTCGTTTAAAGTCATCATTTCATATGCTCTATATGGTCGATACAATGACCTTGTCAGCAAATACAATTTATCATTGAGTCAAATGCTGTCTGACTTTTTTCAGACGTATTGTTACATGTAGGTCATTCTTTACACACTGAATTGTCGACGGATATTCCCGTTATTTCCGTATCATGACAATGAGCACACGACGGGTGTGACTAGTCGGCAGGGGATGCTCACTTCTCCATGGCACCTGATCACCAGATGTATATCATCAAACTGGAAATGAATGCGTATTCTAAAATCAGGGGAAGACCATTCGATTCTGAGGGGGGTGGGGTTCGAGTCAGACTATTTTCATGTCGGTCAAGGATAGATTATATATTCAAGTTATTTCCAATAAGATCAACCCGGAAGGACAGATTATTTATTTTCTTCTTCACTGAAAAAAGTGTGGCAAGCAAAACACAAAAAAAAACAAAAAACAAAAAACAAAAAAACAACAAACAAACAAACAAACAAACAACAAAAAAAACAAAAACAAAACAAAACACACACACACACACACAAAATTTAATATCACTGATCAGGGACAGATTAATGATTTTTTGGCCAGTTGCATACAGATTTTACTATTATTTACTTCCAACATCTGTCCCCCTATAAATAATTGAAAATGGAATAATTAAAGGAGAATCATATATAAAGAGATAGATAAAATATGTTTTTACTAAAGATAAAGAATAAGAAAAACGCCACTTTTTGATACAACTTACTAAATATATTTGTTACAACTTACTAAATATATATCAGCATATGACGTTTGAAACGCGGAAACAAAAAAAGTCAACTCTTGGTTCTTTCTTTTATTACAGAGTTGGAACTTCCTGTTCGAATTCTCCTTGAAAATACGATGAAAAAATGAGTGCACTCGGGGTGAAATATGCTTATTATTCCTTAGGAATGGCCGCTGTTGGTGCCTATGGGATAAAATCCATCATAAGCCCCCTCTATCACGTAAGTAAATCATAGATAAAATATAAACAACTGGAATTTGCACAACTAGTGAACTAGTGAACTACGAGATTTTTTTTTCGATTGAAATCCAGATACAAATGACAAATGGTTATCAACAATTGTGTAAGTTAAAAATCTCATTCCTTACTTTATTTTTCTTTGTTTATTTAACATTTGGGGTTTAAAATATAAAGTAAATAAGATAAATATAAATATACAGTTGTCCTCTCCCTCTTGTATTGAGCATATAACACTTAGGCCTACATACTTGGGACCTCACGCCCTATCCTTCCTTGAAGCTTTCTTTTAATAAGGAGCCACAGATTTTCAATTATATTTAAGTCTGGACTCTGGGCTGGCCAGCTCATCGTTGTAATCCCGTTCCTGTGCAAATAATCCTGAGTCGAACGTGCATGCCGCATTGTCGTCTTGGAAAATATAATTTCCAGCCCATACAAATTGTCCTAAGATTTTTATTTATCCATTTATATTTCCATCCACTTCAGAAATAGTGCCGATCCATGCCAGGTTACATCCCCAGATTAACTTGGTAACATGGTTTTGTTTTGCGCGCCTCTACCAAATCCGGCCTCCAACCTTCTCCCCGTTTCCTCCAAATATACACACGAGAGTCTTGTCTGAGAATATAACTTTTCTCCAAAAGTTGTCAACAGTGACTTTTCTCTTTTCATCGATATATTACCAGCTTTTTCTTTGAACCCGTACGAATCCATGTTTATGCAGATGTAATTGTACAGTTCGTTTAGATATTGGCCGTTCTTTATTTTCATTGAATTTGTCCGTTATATCCTATCGTAGGAACTCTCTCTTCTGTGGGTTTTTACGAGCCTTTCTATATAGTCTCGGGCTGTCACGACAGGTTTCCTGCCTCGTCTCGGGATGTTTTCATGAAACCTCGGCGCTCTACACGCTTCTTAAATATTGTAGTCCTGGACACATAATGTTTCTGACACGTAACCCCCCCAAATCTTACTTCTATTTTTCTTTGTTTATTTAACATTTGGGGTTTAATATATATTAGGTTTAATATATAATGTAAATAAGATAAATATAAATACAGATGTGAAATAAATAATAATTTACACCACTTGAGTAAAATATTTTTGTTTTACAGCATATAAACAACTATTTTGAATAAATTATTCTTATTTGCAAAGAAATAATTTGTTTATTTCAATGCAAAAACAGATTTTATAAGCAATTAAAAACATATCGTGATACATATCGTATCGTGGATCAAATATCGTGATACGTATTGATATAGAAAAAGTTGTATCGTCCCAGCCCTACTTTTTTTCCAATGTCACCCACTATTTCACTTTCATGGCGGAGTTCATCTTAAGGCTACCCATGGTATTTATGTTGTTTCGATTCTCAAGGCATGCCATATCCATTTCAATCATCTTTAATATTGTCAGATAAAGCAGCTGTAAAATGTTTCATACTGCTGCTCCTTGCTGATCTTGATCATCCAGAGTTTTCTACAAAGGCATCTTGTTTGGAAGGAGTCTAGTTTTTGCATGATGTCGTACGATATCTTCCAGACCCAGATTCATACTTACAGGACTCTAGAAACAATACGCAAGTTTCGAGATCA